GCTGTACACACCTGGGGACCTGAATTCATATCTATAGAAATGTAAAATGCCAGGTGTGGCTGTGTGTACTGGGTGGAGACGAGGGTTTCTGGGGACATGCTGGCTCTCAGCCTGGTTCCAGGTTCTGCGTGAGACCCTGCCTCAAGGCCTGGACAGGGAGTGATAGTGCAGGACACACGATGTCCTCTGGCTTTCACCCATGTGCCCATGTGTGCTCACACTATATACACTTAATAATAATAAGTTTTAAAAACCACAAAGGAGCGTGTTCCTGCAGTTTAGCCTGATAAACTCAAGTCCTCTAAAAATAGATACATCACTCGGACAGCAGGCATCTTAAAACATTTTTAAAATGACCACACCACTGGTTTCTAGTGGCTATACGAACTGACATGCTGTGCATTACCAAACACTTTCTCTAAGATCTGGACCACCTGGTTCTGATGACTAGAGCTTGCTCCACAATTCAGATGATAGATTTGAAGTTCATACTGGTTGATTATCTTCACCCTAAGCATCTCTAGTCCGTGGACAGCAATTTTACCCCGGGCCTTGTTGTCCAACTAAGAAATTCAGACTTTTGGCCATAAGAAGAATGAAAGTCAATGTTGATGGCTCAACATGGTTCCATGAACTGTGGCCACCCACCACCACCCCCATAAAAAGGAAAAAAAGAAAGCGACATCTACTGTGGATAGCTGTATGCTGTGAATGTGTTGCACTGATTGGTTAATAAATAAAGTGATGATTGGCCAGTAACCAGGCAGGAAGTATAGGTGGGACAGAGAAAAAGGAGAATTCTGGGAACAGGAGGGCTAAGTGAGGAGATGCTGCCAGCCGCCACCATGAGAAGCAACATGTAAAGATACTGGTAAGCCACAAGCCACGTGGCAAGGTATAGATTTTTTTAGAAATGGGTTAATTTAAGATGTAAGAACTAGATAGCAAGAAGCCTGAGCAATTAGGCCAAACAGTTTAAATAATATAAGCGTCTGTATGTTCATTTGGGTCTGAATGGCTGTGGGCTGGATGGGACTGGAGAAAACTCCAGCTACAAACACCAAAATAGATACATACAAAAATAATAAGTAATAAACCTCATTAAGTACTAGATTCATAGTGTCTTAATGTTGGCTGTACTATCATTAAGAGATCGAGTCTTTGTCAGCCTTATACATGAAGATCTACTCACAGGAGTTACATCTATAAACCTTTTTTTTTTTTTTTTTTTTGGCCTTACACCAGATTCGTTCATATGGAAATCAGCACTGATGGCCTAAAGTTAGAATTCAGATGTGTCTAACCAAACTTCCCATTAAAATTTTTACTTGAAAGCCTTGGGGTTTAGGAAGTGTTATTTTCCAAATAAAATGTTTAATTAGTGCCTAATTTAGAAAACCAAAATGGTTGTTTATGGTCCCTGCCTGTCTCAGATTTAAAGAACATGAAGAAGGCATGGACACATTGAAAAGTAACAACTGTTAAACAGTTGTACACAATAGTAAAGGCTTTTCCCCTTTGTGACTACAAAGCCTTTCAGCCTAACCCTTCTGCAATGGAAACTCTTCTCAACTAAAAGCTTTTAGAAAAAGACCGGCCAGTAAATGAGTGTTTTATATGGATGAGGAAATGGGGGCAAAGGTTCCCCCCCATTCCCCCCACCCCTCCACTCCCCCCCCAACCCTCCACCCCACCCCCACCCCCTCCCCACCCAAAGAAATGAAATTCAGGTAGAATAATTTCAGGCAGGGAAGCCTTCAAAAGCAGGTTTTTGAGGACCTCAGAAGCTGGTGAAGTCACATAAACATTAGTGAGCTCTCTGGTCTCTATAGATGATTGTCTATAAAAAAAAAACACTTATTCTGCCATTTCCTTGAGTGATGTGTAGTATAGACATGATATGGGAAAATAGAGATTAAGTATTTATGACATAGAACTTCATCCAATGTGAGTTTGAACCCATCCAATATAAACTCATCCATTCGTACACATCTAATGTGAAATGAGTTTTTAGATGGCAAATCAACACATGCTCACTGCACTATATCACAGACTAGTTTGTTATTAAGAAATTTCCCATGGCCTCACATGATGCCTAGACTAGCCATGTTATTGATTCATCATATATTGCTGTGACCACTGGATCTCTAAGTGACTTTACAGCTACACATATATTCTTGTTCATAATGGTTTTCTTTTCTTTTTTTTTTTCTTTCTTCTTTTTTTTTGTTTTTTTTTTTGTTTGTTTGTTTGTTTGTTTTTTGAGACAGGGTTTCTCTGTAGCTTTGGAGCCTGTCCCGGACTAGCTCTGTAGACCAGGCTAGCCTCGAACTCACAGAGATCCGCCTGGCTCTGCCTCCCAAGTGCTGGGATTAAAGGTGTGACATTTTCTTAAGATTGGTTTCTGTAAATAAAATGCCCCACTGTAAAGGCCACATTCAAACCTCTCCCCATCCTGGTGGGACTGTTGTGCCAGGAGTTTCATGCTCTCACACAACGTTAAGAGTCTGCATAATTCCCTCCATACTGAAAACACTTGCACGAGACCTGACCAGTTTCCTACAGGAAAATGAAGCTCTTTGCAATTCCCCTGGAACTTCTCTGGAGCCAATCATGGGGTATGCTTTAAATGGCTCTCTTGACACTTTGGGTGACTGGACTCAAGATTTGCTGGAAATAGATGATTCCTTGTTGCTTTTATTAGGTCTTGTATCTTAAAACAAACAAACTTGGTCCACATGTTGTTAAAACAGCTGAAGCTTAAAATGTAATGAATCAGATACGTTTTTGTCTCTGCGGTGTTGAAATGTCTAAGTGTTTGATATCATTTGGATTAAATAACTAGATAATGGGGTTAACTTTTCATTTTTCATGTTTTGATGTGGTTTGGCTATAGCTATGAGTGCCTTTCAAAATACTTAATTGATACTGAAGACATTATTTCTCCCATCTTCACGTTCCCCTGGCATTTCAAAATGTATGGTGTTGGAATCACATTATTTTAGGGAGCAAAACTGGTTATATTTACATAAGATTTTAAAATACATTTCTTTTGGCATTGTGGATTTCTCCCCCATGCTACATTCTCGAATACATAAGGAAAACACACATCAGATGCTGTGTAATGACCTGCAGTTACCTCTCCACAGAGAACGAGGTAACTTCTTGAGGTGATAACGCTGTCCTACATAAAGAGATAAGCCATGCATTTAATCGACGCCTAAGCAGAGGACATAAAACACTAAGCACTTCATCTTTAGCTGTTTCTGCTGTTCCCCCTAGCCCCTTACAAGACAGTCGGGAGTTTGCTGACTGTGTGAATGCGTTTTATTTTCAGCAAGAAGGCAGTATTTGCCAATGTGCAGTGACAGGAGACAGAGGAGAGCATGGAACTGAGCCTTTGCTTGTAGCTCTCCAGAAGGCATGCTTGTGTGTGTGTGTGTGTGTGTGTGTGTGTGTGTGTGTGTGTGTGTGTGTGTTGGGGAGCTTGGCATTTTCTACCATAATTTTTCAATTATGCGACCCTTTCACCTGATGGGGTGGGTGAGTGTTGAACAGCTTCCTAAAGCTCTTGATGGATCCATTATTCTGAACAAGTATCTTTAAATTATAGACTGTTGAGTGTAATAACAAGTGGTTAGCCACCAGTGAACAGATTTGGGCGAAAGAAAAGGAAACCATGAAAGGCCAGTTATTCATTAGTGATTGCACAATATTCTGAACTAAACAGCACATAAAGTGTCTATGAAGAGAGGGTTGCAGACAGGAAGAGAACAGAGGCTTCAGGGAATTCATCTATGCAATCGGACCACAGGATCTATAACCTGGATCCATCAAACATCACCAGGAAAAGAACAGAGGCTTCCGTGAACACATCTGTGCAATGGGACCACAGCATCTATGACCTGGATCCACCAAACATCACTTAACAATTTTTAAAAAATGCACAGCAATAGAAACATTGAAGATCTGGATGTGATCTATTTTCAAAGAAGATTTTAAAAAAAATAGAACAAACTGAGGATAAGAAGACAGCTGAAATGGTCATGCCTGCACTGTAATAGGCAATCCCAGGGAACCAAAGTGGTTTCCTGATTTAGCATAGTTGCTTTTTATAAAGTGTTGTCTTGATTGCATTCTTCTTGAAAATAGCTATTTAAGCAATTTTAGAATTAAAAAAAACCTGAAAATGTGCAGTTAATTATAATTACAATGGTTTTCATAGTAGACACAATTTTTTTTACCAACTAATGAGCAGAATTTATTACTTACCATTTGTCCTCCAGACAATTGTGGCACAGAAATTAAAGTCACACAAGCATCCTATCCTTCTCAAATTAGAGGCCACTAATATTATCATGAAAATGTATACAAGGAGACACACAAAAGCCAATTATATGTTAAGTACTAAGAGGAATTCTTCATTAACATAGATTGGTTTTTCTTTTTTTTTTTCATAGAAAAGAATTTTGAGTGGTCACTTTTAAAAAAATGAATAGCCTTTGACTTTTAGGGTTTTATTTTACTTCTTTTGAGTCTGTGAACCTCTACCAAAAATGTATGGCATCATACTTCTCAGAACAATACTCAACGTATCAGCCTTTAAAAATGTGTGCCAAGAATACTTACAAACTTATTTTGTTGTAAAGTATAAATAATGTCACAAATGATTATCACTTAGTATAGAACTTATTGTAAATGTTTTCTTAATTGTTTAATGATTATGGAAACACGGTGTTATGGATATTTGGGGTCTTTATATTCACAACCTCAAGACACCAAATCTTATTAAAATAGGGATCGTAGGCACGTTGCCCCTTAGATTCTTCTATGAATTTGATAACTTTAAATACATTGGAACTGATCCCTTATTTGCTTTGGCAACCAGACAAAAACTGGTATAGAACTGTAAATGTTACTGCACCACACACCGTTATTGCTACTCACCACCGGAGACTAGAAATACCAAAGAACGCTCTTTCTCTCTTATCAGAACTTACCTGCCCCGCAGCTTGCCAGGTAAAATTCATGGAGTGGATATTGACGGGAATGGCTGGCATTCTTTGTTGGGCTTTCCTGAAATCATGTGTGAAGGGGGCCATTTTCCCCTCTGAGACAATCAGAATATCCTCTTCAAACCCTGTTGTGTAAATAACAAACAAACTTATCAAACCGGATGCATTTCGAAGAGACAGGCGTTTCATGCAGAAAGCAAAACCCTGAGAGAACCAGGGTAGGTCATTGCTTTTCACAAAGCACCTGCCTTTGGTACCAACATGAATAGAGTTATTTTCCGTCCATCTGTGGTAAGAACCAGGCTTGCTAACACACACAGTGGAGTCATGCAGTGCTAATAATGTTGGATTCCCCGTAAGCAACACCAGGATAGGAATGTTCGGTCGCCTTTGCTTCCCCCTTCCCCCGAGAAAGAAACTCATAAACTTCCCAATGGAAGACACTGATTTTAAAAGGAGTGCAATCACCCTCGAAGTTAAGTTTTAAATCACACTCGGTGCATGCATGGAGAGACCGAGGACTGACTGGGAAGGAAGGTGCAAATGCTGGGCCTTACCTATGAGCACCCTCGCTTGATGGGCGTCGATCCACAGGTACAAGCTCTCCTCTGGCTGCCCGGCATCTGCTCGCAGGAGCAGCAGGCAAGGTAGGATGCTCCAGAGCCGGAGCGCGAAAGCTGGGACAGCACTTCTCCGGGCCATGCTGCTGCTCAGGACCTTCTCTCTGGTGGTGCAACTCCTGCCGCAGCGACCCAACCTGCGTTTGTGAAGTTTTGGGGTGGGGGGTGGGGGCGTTGGCTGCAGCTGGCGGGGGCTGGAGCGGTTCCCACTTAAAACGGATAGGGCTGCTTGCCGACTCCGGTCTCCGGTGCGAGTGAGCCTGGGAGAGCTGGAGAGGAGGGAGCAAGGAGGGAGTGGATGCGCGGCCACACCGAAGGAGGGGGCCCCTGGAGGGAGAGAGGTCCGCAGAGACACGATGCTGGCCAAGCTGGCGGTGCCAGCACGTCCCGCAGTGCCAGCAGCTAGAGGATCGCACGCTGGAGGGAGGAGGAACCGCGGGAACGCACGGCTGGCACCCGCGGGCGAGCCCTAAGAGTTGGTGAGGTGCGGGAGGCCGCCACGAGGGGGCGCTGGGGCGCAGCGTGGGCGGGGCCGCGGTACCCGGGAGGCCAGGCTGGCTCGCGCCAGGTGACAAGAAGCGCATGCTGCGCGCCCCGGGTTGTGTGATGGAGAAAACAACGAGGAAAAAAAGCACCCAAAGGGATTTCTGGATCGCCCCTCGATCCTTCTCCCGCCGGAAGAGACATGTGTGGGCTCGATTGGCCATCAACGATGGTGATAACCCCGTCTTCCATCCCGGGGGGGCTAACTGAACGCACATAGTCCACTTTTACTTTCTGTGTGCCTGTCTGCAAATTCTGCCTCCTCTAGCTGGCGGTTGGCACTTTCCCGGGAAGTTAACTACGGAGACTCCACAAGCTAGTGGGCTGCTGTTGGAGCTGGTCCTCCAACAGCGGGGAGTTTTCATTTCTGCACTGGACCGATCGATACCCGCTAAGCGGCGTGGGTTGTCTTCTTGATAACCCAGTGGCACCCAGAATAGTTCCCTAGGTCCTGGATGGGAGCTGTGCCTGACCGCCCCACCTACCCAGACACACACTTTGCCCCACGAGGGTAGGACTCTCATAAAATATTAGATTGGGGGGGGGGGGGGACAATGGAAATAGAGGCTCGTGCGCAGTTTGGGGAGCTCGGGGACAAGACTGAGGGTCTTGTGGGAAGAGCACCTAGCTGGCAGTGGCTTCCAGTCCCCTGCCAGGGAAGGTTTTTGCCTCTTGCCTGACTCCTTGAATGTGAGAGAAGGCGGAAGCAAACTTCTTTTTTTCTTTCAAAAACACAGACAAATTTCAGACTCGGGAAAAGCTTCGTTTGTTTGTTTGTTTGCTTGCTTTTGCGCCCACTTGCTTTTCAGCTACACACACACACACACTGTCTCCAACACACACACACACACACACACACACACACACACACACACACACACACACACACACCGCACGCACGCCACGCCTGGGCTGCTGTTCCACTTCGTCCTTTGCAGAGCAGCAGGTTTCTCAGCAGGAAAAAGCAAACAGAAACTTCACCACGTTCAACAAATGCTGGTCACGTGCAGTTTCTAAAAAAAAAAAAAAAAAAAATCAGATTGATAGAAAGAGGGGGTGTATGTGTGGATGGAGGGTACACAAGAAGACTCTCCATTGTAAACTGATGGTGAACTCCACGGATGTTTATTCCTTGTGCGGTGGCCACTGTTACCATTCTCGTTTTACTGATGGGGAACAAACTCTTTAAAAAGTCTGGTAAACTGACCGCAGATACTCAGCTGGTGAGTGACGGGAGTCAGAGTTCAAATCTCGATCGATCGCTCTGACTTCAAAGCCCTGTCCAGTAAGGTTCCCCACCCCACCCCCCATCATTGTTCTGAGCAAATCACGAGATAGTTTGTTCCAGAAGTGTCACAGCCAGTCTTCCTTGAAAACAAAACATTTAAACTGGTTACGGCGGCGGCAGAGACTATCTTTTGAGCACTAAGAAGTAGAAGCAGAGGCTTCAGAGTTCAGAGTGAATACAATCTACATACGGAGTTTGAAGTCGGTCGGGGCTACCTGAGACCCTGTCTCAAAAAACGAAAGAGCTTTCCTCAACATTTCGTTTTATTGTTGCAGTGAATATTCATTTTCATAATGTCTTACTGCATTAGACAAACTTAAAACCCTTTAATATTGTAAAGCCAGCGTCACTCAGTCACAGGTAATAATTTTGAAACACTAAAATAGACGTTTTCTTTGGCTTGGAGCGTGTGGTTTTCGTCGAAGGTTTTTCCTCCCGTAGTATTATGGCTCAGTCCTCTATGGCTCTTGGTGCAAGGACGCCCTCTACAGGTTGTTCTTGAGAAATACTAGCTGAGAACTGAAAAAAGAATACGTTCTATCTTAAGAGGGCTTGCTCGGAGTGAGGATTTTCTGTGGCCGTTGTCTCTGGTGTTGAAACGACAACCTACCCTGCTATGAGGACATTTCCCCATTTTCAATAGTTATTTTGTTCGGTGTTGTGGCAAGCGCCTGTCACCCCAGCACTCAGAGGATAAGGCAAGAGGGTTTCTATGAAAATGAGGCCAGGTTAGGCTACTAGTGAATTCAAGTGCAGCTTGTCTCATCATCATCATCACCACCATCATCATCCCCATCGTTACCATCATCATCATCCCTACATCATCATCATCATCATCGCATCACCATCCTCCTCCTCATCATCATCACCATCACCAGCAGCAACAACAATGGTTGCTTTCTGTTCTCTTCTCTCCAGCAGGAGACATGATATTGTATGTTTAGAGGTATATAGAAGTGTGGTTAAAAAAATTATTGGTACTAGAGAGATGTCTAAGCAGGTGAGAGCCCGTACCCTTGCTGATCAAGCTTGAGGACCTGAGTTCAGATCCCCGGCAAACAGAAAGCTGGACGAGGCAGCATGCTGCTGTGACCTAGTGCTGAGGGGCTGGGACAGCTGCTGCTAGCCTACTGCTGCCATTAGTGAGAAGCCCTGCCTAAGGAAATAAGGGGGAAAGTGATAAAGTGATGTGTCCTCCCCTGCCCTCTGTGTATGAAGTGCGCGCATTCACACACACCTGGAATTTAATCCAGATATGATGGCATGTGACACCCCATGATGGCAGCCCTCTGGAGGCTAAGGAGTAGGACCATTACCAGAGTTCATAGCTAGCTCGGGCTATGAAGTAAAATCCTGTCTCGACGAAGAGAAAAGACATCTGTGATTGAATAACTTTTAGATTTTAAGAAGGAGGAAGGAACATACTTTGTGTATACGAAATCAGCTATTTTTAACAGTAATCGAGTGTATCTTCATAGGAAATCCATCCAAGAGCTGAATTTTTATCCCCCCCCCACACACACACCCCTTTTAAGTCAAAGATACAGTAGACTTCATTTAGGATAGGTATGTTTTTACATTTTCTTGTTAAAAAATATGATTGCATGATCAATGTTGGCTATATGTTGGAGTCAGTATGTTTACTTCAGAAATTCCCCCATTTATTCCTAGTCCAGTATGCTTCCTTGCCTTGTGTGATTCAGCCTTATCGTTTATAGTTGTAGCCTCATTTATTTGCTCATTAATTTAACTCACTCATCCAATAAGATTCACTAAACACTCACCGCACGACAGACACTAACCTAGAACAGGCAGAACAGAACTTGATGCCACCCTCCGGGCACCAGCGTTAGTAAAATGACAAGTACCCAACAACATATAAATATAAATAAGCAGAATATGGCAACTTTTGACAGAAGTTCAAAGATGAAATCTGGCATCTAGAATTCTGAGCATTTTTTTTTTCATTTATCATTCATTTAAAACATCCTTGGGAGTTTGATATGTGCATTGTCAGGCACAGGGGTAGGAAGGCACCTTCAAAAGAAAGATGAGGGTGATTTCCCCCTGGGGAGCTGGCCTTTCTGTAGCCAGGTCCAGGCTAGAACTATCTTGGTAGCTACAGGTGTTGGCTTGGAAACTGGGCACGTCAGTAATACCTGGGTTACATTTGTAGCACACTCCTGTGGAAAGGAAGTCTCACAAAAAGAAATAAAAGAGAGCCAAGTATTAGGCATAATTTAGTTTTGTTTTTAGAATATATATATCATACACAGAATAATACACAGACTAGACTTATCTATCAATCTATGTTCATATTTATTTCTATATGCCATCTGGAAGATGCTACACCGTGAAATTTCCAGTGGGCGTCTCTAGAGCATGAAAGAGGGACCAGAAAATGTCTTTCCCTTCATGGACTCCTGGGACCTTCCTAATAAGATGCTGCTTTAGTTAAAAATATTTTTTGAGAAAAGTGTTGTTTCTTTTGTGCTTCCCCAAGTCGGCAGCTGTCACCTGCCCAGGCATGCACCTCCCCTTACACACTTGATCATCTGAGGACTGTGCATCCCCACACATGACAGACGGCTCATTACCGAAGCGCGCACAGTCTGAGCACCCCTCATCACCCCACCAGCAGTCTGGCTCTGCTCGTCTCCGGGGTGCCATTGCCAAGCAACCTTGCATAGCTTGTCTTCCGCAAATCACACCTAAAATGTCTTGTTTACCATGCTGTTTCATCCCCATGATATTTTAACAAAACCATTTTTTTATGATAAGGGGGGAAATGAGAAATGATTCCACTGCCTGATATTAGAGGCAGGGTAAAACAAATTGGGGTAACTTTTTTTTTTTTTACATAAAATGTTTTAACTTTTAATTATGTTTTTTATCATAAAACAATTTTAAATGTAAGTATATTTCGATCATATTTTTCCTCTCCCCCAAGCCCTTCCGGATCCTCTCCCCCTCCCTAGACAACTAACTTGAAGGGTTTTTTTTTTTTTGTTTTTTTTTTGTTTTTTTTTTTTTCAAAAAACAAAAACCCAGCCGGGCGGTGGTGGCGCACGCCTTTAATCCCAGCACTCGGGAGGCAGAGCCAGGCGGATCTCTGTGAGTTCGAGGCCAGCCTGGGCTACCAAGTGAGTTCCAGGAAAGGCGCAAAGCTACACAGAGAAACCCTGTCTTGAAAAACCAAAAAAAAAAAAAAAAAAACAAAAAACAAAAAACAATACAATAACAAACTTTTTAAAACCAAGAAAACAAAATAAAACCACACACACACAACCCCCCAAAAAACCCACCAAACTGTAACCAAATAAAAACACCCAAAGGAAACCGTGAAGTCCATTTAGTGAAGTCCGTTATATGTTGGTCAATTATTACTCGAGGCCTGAATGGAATGGTTGATATACCCAGCTCTATTGGAGAAAACTGATTTCCCCTCTGCCTACAAGTTTTACATCAAAGAGAAAGGATGCTGTTTGGGGGTTTTCCATTCATCCTCAGCATGAAACTTCTAAAGTTTTTTTTTTTTTTTTTTAAACACAGTCAGTCCTCACATTACACTGCCACCTATGTTTGCTCAGAAGGAAAGAGAAAAATGAAACAAAACAAAGCAAAACAAAACACTGTTTCCATT